GGACTTGTCAAGCAAAGGAAAAAGGGCAAGAAGCACAGACACGCTAACACTTCCTCTTCAGGAGGTGGTGTAGAGCATCTTGCAGACCCGAGCATTGCGTCAGCAAGAGTCCATCAGGGCACCACGACAGGGCAGGGGCTGTTTGGGGGTAATCAAGGTGGGTACCAGCAATCGAACCTATACGGCGGCGGCGGGTACAATCGATGGTGACCAGACGACATCCCAACCACAACATCTCAATTGCCCTTTCATTCCTTTTCTCTTCTTTATGATGGATTCTGTTTGGCGTTGGTGGTATGAGGCCTACCTGTTCGGATCAGCGAGCAATGCATAAGCTAGTAGCCGAATGGCGAAAGCTTAGTGGAGTCACGGCATGGTCACAGTCATGGTCCCGGGCGAGCGTGGGACGCATCGAAAAATCAATCTATCGGCATCAGGCTTTTCTTCAGCGGCATCAATCGTCCCGATTTTCACGGCTTTGTTATGTATGTTAGTACCCTTCTCTGACCATGCTACGAAAAGGTCAGGCAGATCAGAAAAACAATTTCTTACAAATCATTTTAGGTGAAATGTTCTAGAGACTGTAAAAAGAAAAGTCTTGTGCTGAGGGATCTGATGATGCGAAAAGCCTGATTGTCTTTGCCTGCACCCTGTTGCCCGTGTCAAGTACCCACCGCCGCGACGTCTGATGGTTCTGGCTGCGTCCTCTCTGCATTTAGATGTTGTTTGGGATGCTTCGCTAACCTTGTCCTTGCAGTGGATGAGAAGAATTTCCCCCCTCTGCCAGCCCGTCCCGAGACACAGCCTTCAGCTCTGCATTCACGCGTCTCGTCCTTCCAGAGTCATTACAGCTCCGGCCTCCGGTCATCGACACCGAAAGTTCCTCCTGGATTTGAGCTCAGCCACGGACATCCCCCTCCCATCAGGTCGACGTCTCCAACCCAGCCTTCTCAGGCGGTCGGCCAACGAAGTACATCAGTCAGTTCCGTACCTATCGCTCCAGCAGTGCCAATCGTTCCGATTGCCCCTCGCACATCAACTCCGAAAACAAAGGAAGACGCCAAGGTCACGCCGGTTGAGGATGCCCCTATCTCAAGCAAGAAGTCTAGCCTTGGAGTGACTGATATCAGTCTGGGCTCCCCTCAGCCAAAGTCCAGCCGCCAGAAGCTTGAGACTGAGAAAAAGTCAGATGTATTGGGAAGAGTTGATGAGAAACCTCAGAAGAAAGATGATCCCCGTACTCCTGCAAAGGTCGAAGACATCAAGGGCAAAGGGAAAGCTCCAGCAGCGAAATCTGGAAGAACAGAATTGCCTTCAGGGACCGCCTCAGATGCCCCTACCACCTCATCGCTGCCTTCTGTCAATACCAGTGCATTGGACAAATCTGCCACGCCGATTTTGGATTCGGCGGTCGTTGGGACACCGGCGACTATGAGCCCTCGACCGACTACGCCTGTAACTGCAACTCCATCCGAGACATCGAGGACGTCTATCCCACGGCCAAGAACTCTACGCGTGACAACTGGTACGCTTAGCAAGACGCTAGAACAGACCCCTGCTTCTTCTACGACCGAGAAATCCAGCGCTGTGCCTCCAATCTCTGCTATCAAGAAAGGCTCGAGGCGGCTATCTCTGTCATCGGCTCAGCTTAGTAGGCCTTCGACTCCAGCAATGTCTGAGCGCCTTTCCCATGACGCATCCCGTGCAAGCTCTCCTCCGCCTAGTATTGTTGGATCTGCTCCAGAACGAACCAAAAGCAAGGCCCAACTAAAGAAAGAACGCCGAGAGAAGGCGAAGAAGACAACTGAAACCACAGATACGGTCCCAAGCGCTGCTACAACGCCCGTAGTGGAAGAGGTTGCGCCGGTCATCGCTCGACAAAAGAAACAAAAGAAGCAGCGAGTGGGGAGTAGCGCTCCAGCTAGTGGCGACGAGAGAGTGAAGCCAAAGACAGAGAATGTTGGCATCAAATCGCAGGACATAACCGAAAAACAGAAGGTGGAAACGATTGAGGCAAAAGCAGATCCAAAAAAGGCAGAGGAAAAGGAGAAGGCTGCTCTTCCCGCCTCGCACCAGGCAGAAAAACCTGCGAGCCACACTCAGAAATCAGGCTCTTCTCGAACATCAACACCCCGACACGAGTCTACGTCTAGATTCGAGGAGGCCAAGAGCACCTACACAATGCGCGACCTGTACAACGACACGGAGAAGATGGCAGCAGCCACTGACGACGTTTCGGCCCACGCAGCTATGCAAAAACTCCTCAACGAGCATATCTCCTCGATGCCTAAGATCTTCTCCTCGCTCATCCAAATGGGGGACCTCTCTCGGGATCACCCGTGGCTCAATCCACCGTCGTTCAACTCGGCCACGTATAAGTTACCGTCAGACCCCCGACGCGGCCAAGAGTATCTTGATGGCAACGGATACAGTGCCAACGATGCTTTTGGTTATATCTACCTACCACTCAAGGAGAAGCAAGCACTGAAGGACGGCAATGCCGTTAGTGTTGCCGATGCAGGGGAGCGAAAAGACGATCTACTGAAGAGATGTCTGGTGACACCTAATGGATGGGTCCTAAGACATCTCAGCGCTGATGAGGGTGAGAAGCTACTCGAGCTTGAAGAGCGACGACAACTTTATCTAGAGGAGTTCGGAGACGTGGGTACCATGGCTGGACTGGGTGTCCTCGAAGCCGACGATTACACCAACCTTGGCGGCGGGATGGAGAGGCTTGCCAGACAGGGTGAACGGCACGGTGTAGTTTGGATCATGGGCGAGGATGGTGAGATGATTGATGACGACGAGTTTGAGCCATTTGACGACGAAGACGGCGAGATCGACGGCGAGATCGGCGATAGCGATGAAGAAGGCGAAGAGGAGCTGTACGGCGATGGAGAAGGCCTGGATGAGGAGGGCGAGGAAGGCCTTGATGGCGACGATCCGGTCAACATGCCCGGGAGCTGGGATCTCTCCACTCGGGACCCTCATCAAGCCACCAGAGTTACCTCTAGTGGGCGGATCAACTCTCTTCCCGGCCTGGGTCCGCATTCTAGGACGAATGCGCTGCGCTTGCCCTCAAGAGGCCCATCAATGGGCATGGAAGATCCTGCACAGCAGGACAATCGCGTCACTGCTGGTCCGAGCACGGGTCCTCAACACGCAAACAAACTCTCGCCGGCGCCATCGGCACCTGCTGCTACAGCAAACACTGCAACGACAGAAAATGTGAATGTCCGTCTTCTTGACGCGGACGCGCTACAGAAACGTGTCCAGGAATCACAAAAAGCACTTGATGCCGCACGCAAAGAGATGGAAAAGACTGAGAAACTCTGGAACAAAAAGGCGAAGGACATCGGGCGATGGAGAGATGGTCTAATCGGATCGTTGGGTGTGAAGGGCTAGGAGATCCCTTCACCATCCCCAGCGACGGCAGCGCTGGAAGGTCCGTCGCGAAAAGGCAAAGGAAAGGCAAAAGCAAAAGCAAAAGACAAGGGGAGCGCACAGGCCAGCAACGATCCGCGACAGAGTCCCAGGGAAATTGAGATCACTATACCCCAGCCTGATCCATTATTGCCCCGGTTCCTTGACGTCTTTGACAGCGATCCTGATGGCCCGGCCACGACCTTGTGGGTCGAAGGACCTCTTATATCTGGAGACTTTGAGATGAATGGCGACGTCAACACCTCAGCAGCGACTAGAACAACCTTGAACAAACGAGAGAGCCACATGCTCCACATTATGAGGGCAGCTGATCCATTTGATAATCAGATTCTTTGCAGAAAGATCTGTGTGGTTGAGGAATGGGATTGGCGCTATCGTTACGACGAAGTAAGTGGTGGTGCCACAGAGCCTCGCCTGCGTGGACCGGACCGCCTGATCCAGCATGTCGCTGCCGCGGCCGCAGCACTGGATGGCATCGATCTCGAGGAGGTCAGAAGTGATGTTGAACCCAGGAGGAGAATGCGCGATTGGCTCATCGTCACCAAGAAAATCCGGCAGCCATGGGAAAACAGGGCCAGCCTCCTTGCATCCCCCGTCCCTCCTAACGCTGGCCTTCCGCCCCCGGAAATGTGGCATCTCTTCGGATCTCCGCAGATTTTCGCCCGACGAGCCAGGATGAGAAAAGTGAATCCCAAGGAACTCAAGGCTCTGCTCTTCCTACGAGAGATCATTTCTCAACGCTGGGTACTGAAGACCAAGGGCATCGTGCTTAACGATTCGTTCTACGAAACTCAGCGGAGGGCCGACCTCTGGGACTGGGCGCTGGAGTGTTATGACGGGTTGCTGAGGGTTTGGCAGTTTCAGAACCAGAAGAAGCCAGTGGGATACTTGAAGAGGAAGTAATGACGCCGACGCTCGACGCTCACGCTGGCAGTGTGTTATTTTTGTTTGTACCAAGTGCTGTATTATGGGATGGGTATGGATGCCATGGTATTGGTAATGCTAATGGTAATGGCCAGTACACCGTCGGATTGGACGAGAATTGGGTTATGGCTATTGTTATTCTCAAGCTCTTTGATGTTATTACACAGAGAGCATTCATTGTATTCGACCTCCGCCATCCTATGGCAAGGTCTTGCTCATAGAGTAATAGTTGTACTCCACCATTGTTGTTGGGTTGTGTTGACGGGCAATATGGATATCCGCTTTTGCATGCAAATTCGAAATCAAATCAAATCAAACACTTCCTTGACAAACCAACCAACCCCCTTCGTGGCTCTTTGTAGCTCGCTCGTCGGCCATCTAGCCACTTGACAAGTTAGTTTTGTCCGCGACATTGAGTGTCACATCTTTTTTTTGTGTTTCCACGGCATATCTTCTTTTTCATCTCTCAGTGAGGGTTTCATCCTTTCATTCTTCATCCTGGGTAACATTCGCACAGTTCATAACCCCCTTGTCCGGGTCGGCTCTTTTTCTTTTCACACAGAAAAACAAATTCTCTCTAGAGAGCTCTTGGTGATGTCACTGATCACCCACAAAGGTCGGCACACCATTTTCTATCCTTCGTTGCTCCAGAGGGGCATGGGGGGAAGGTCAAACTCATTGCTTCGGATGCTTGCCAGGCCGCTCCCTGTCGAAATTGAAGGAGAGACAACTGGAGGAGAAAATGGCACGGTCCCCGGCTTCGAGTCAAGGATGCGCATCATCAACTGGACCTCGCCCCAATTGGAGTAATTAATGTTCAATATGCTGATGTTATATGAGTCTCGACCCGGTATCGGTGTATTCACGCCAGAATTTGGCCACGACATAAGACGCGCACCTCTTCCCGGTGCGGCCAAGCCGTTGGAGACTTGTGTCAAAGAGATCGATACAATGACCCTCACAAAAGTGCCCTTGTGCAATGTCATGTAAGAAGCAGGGTCCATCGTCTGAGAAGTGGTTTGAGGACCGATGGTGCCTGTGAGATAGGGCGGGCAATCTGGAAAGAACAAGTCTGCAAGGGAAATAGTGTTTGTTACGCCATTCTTCTCAGTGGCGTCCACAACGGCAAAAATCTGAAGATTCATCAATGTGGGGGTCCTGGGCTCAGAATTCTTCACGCCGTAAAATGGTGTAGTTGATCGCGACGAAAAGATAGACGAGACATAGCGAAGAGCCGCTTCAACACGGAAGGAGATTGCAAGGAATTGTGTTACTGGTTCGGTGGGTGTCGCCATTGATAGCGTTGTAGGCAAGGGAAAGGGGTCCATGAACGGCTCCATTGGCGGCTCCTGTCTCATCATCTCACTGACTTTGGTTGGTGTTGATTGTGCGTTGAGGAACAGGGAGGATCCTACTCCGGCTAGGGTCGAAGCTGGATATATCACCCTAGTAATGAGTGCCTTTTCAGCCGCGACACAAACAGAGGCCTTTCCACCCTGTGTCATGGCTAGTGTCTTCTTTGCTGATGGCTCTTCAGTAGAGTCAAAGAACGCCTCTGATGACGTTCGTTTGTGCCCAGTCACGGTCATTTTGAGTCCACTTGGACAAATCGGCAGGATACCGTCTTGGGCCTTGTGACGATTGAGGCTCGTCCTCTTGACTGGTCGAGTGATCCTCGTGCATGGCTTCTCGTCTTCATCCGCTGGCATCGTACTGTCTAGGTAATCCCCAGGCCAAACAAGTTCAAAGTGATATCTGGTTGGTGGTGACGTGAAGATGGCGGTCGTCCGTTTCCTGCCCTTTCGGTCTTGCTTGACGCGGAGGGCTGAGCTGAGGATCCTGGCGCGCAGATGACTGGCAAGCACCGACGGTACTTCACCATCGTCGATATCTGATTGAGAGGACGGGGTAGAGGAAAGATTGGCTGTGACGGACATAGGTGGCAGATTGACGTGTGTCCATCCGTTGTGCCTACTATTGTTAGAAATTATCTGTTTCTAATGTATCTGCTGGCAGAAATCCTACCGGACAGGGTATTGTGGCTCAGCCTCGGCCACCACCTTAATCTCATCCAGCTCACTGCTGAACGACCAGCTCGTGCCTGATGAAGGCGAGCTCATCGCAAATGGTAGAGTCCTGGAAGAATCTCAAACATAACAATAGTAGTCTTTAGAAAGCCCTAGACAGGAGATGTTCAGTCAAACGAGTCATGCAGAAAGTAATTGGAGTTGAGGAAGAGCGGCGCGTTTGTGAAAGAAGGCAACATGTTGGGGTGCGCGAGTGAAGACTTGGGCAATCCATCCTTCACGGGAGCAGGACTGGCCGCGTGTGAAAAGTTGTGTTTCCAGTCCACCGGAGTCATTATGACAGTTTCAACCTTCACGACCGAGTAGATCACATAGTGCAGGTACGGTAGGTTGAAGAGGTGAGTGACAGCAGGTGAGGCAGATGAGGCAGATGAGGCAGATGAGAACCGCCAGTGTAGGCAGTTAGTGATTAGCAATGGGTTGTGTCTGGCGGCTTTCAGGTTTGCATTTCTTTCAGTGACAGTCACCATCGCACGAGGAAGACACATGTTCATCTCTTCCATATACTGTGACATGCTGAGTGAAGTGAAGAACGATGAAGTCTGAAGTAAGAGAAGCGACTTTGGTTCCTCAGCCAAAAATGTGACTAACCTAATAAAGTTAGCGCATATTTATTCGTTTCTGAATGTGGAATGCGCAAGGCACAGAAAAAGACACTCTCGATTCTGGGCTTGTAATCATTGAACTGCGTCCATCTACCCTACGTAGAGCCTCGCCTCATAATGTCGTATGCTATTGAGACCAAGAAGCGCAAATTCGATCGCATCCTCGAGGCACTTACCGATGGTGCCGCCTCCGCTCCCCCCTCGACTTCAGCCTCACCGTCGCGTTCATCCGTCAACGCTTCCGCAACCTCACTTTCTCTCTACGCCGCCTCTGACTCCTCTAAGCGACGTCGGATTACGCCTACCTCAAACACTTCAGCATCATACACTTCTGCGCCGGTTGCGCTGAGCGGACATTATCTCCCATCAAGCCGAGCTGCCTTTCTCCAGCGACTGGAGACATTTCGCCATGTGACACAATGGCATGTCCCATCTATCGATTCCATCAATGCCGCAGCGTGGGCAAAACGAGGCTGGGTTTGTGTTGATACAGATACAGTAGCATGTGGTGTTTGCAAGGAGAGGTTGTATATTGATCTCAATATCGACAAGGAGTTGCTCAAGTCTTCCGAGAAGCCTGGTGACGAAAGTGCGGACGAGGAAGACAGCTTCGCCATCTCAGCCGAGATCTATGACAATATTATCGCAAGGTACCAGGATATGATTGTCACGGCACATGCAGACACTTGTCTCTGGCGAAAACGAGGGTGCGACATCTCAATCCAGCGCATCGAAGGTCTCTTAAACACAACTTTGGCTCTCTCCGGACTGAAAACGCGTTATGACAGTCTTGCCAGCCGCTCAGACGAAATCCCCCCCGTTGAGCCTCTACCATTGACCCCTTTTGTAAATGCTCAAGAGTTGGAAGAATTCCGTTTCAGTGAACTCGAACGCCCTCACATTGACACACTTAGACTAGCGATCTGTGGCTGGGAGAGGAGATCTGAGGATGTCATTGAATGCCACCACTGTTTCCGCTCTCTGGGTCTGTGGCTATATCGTGGCGAACCACCTGCGATTGGGAAATTGGATGCCATAGACAACCACTTGGAATATTGTCCTTGGAGATCGGCCGAGGCTCAGGACACCGAACTACAAACAGGGCTCCGCAAGAGCACTACGGGTGAGCAGATTGCACCGAAGAAGGAGCGGGTGGCAGGTTGGGTTCTAGTGTACCAAGCGATCGCAAAAGACAACAGGCAGAAAAGAGCGTCAACTGAACCGGCGTCCACTGCGGCTTCCGAGGCCGGGCCCCGCGAAAATGGATCCACGACGCCAGAACAGCGTGAGAAGAGAATGAAAGATTTGCTACGCCGAATCAAGGAGATCAAAAAACCCTTCAATGTCAAAGCGCTCCTGAAGCGGAAGGACAAGCCTAGGGTTTGACCGACAAATCTACCGTCAACCACGCAAAGCGCCGTTGTCACCATCGGAGTCTCTGACCCCGTATGGAAAGATAAATGGCGCATTCATGGTCGTTCCGTCGAGGTTAGGATCCGAAATTTGTCCTATCCGGAATGGTAGCCGGCTAAGAACCCAGAGATATTCCAAGCATTGAGTGAGGGATCGAGCCACAGCTTCGGGAGCAAGACCGGTCCTCTCTTGCTCATGGAATGGTGGCTGACGGAAAGCTGCTCGGAACATTCCGGGATTGGGCGCTGTGCCCAGCGTAGGGGCGCAAGAAGCAATTTTCCATCCCTCATAGTATCATCATACTTGTACTTGGTAAAGCATGGTTCTGTCCTGTGACAAGGCTGAGGTTCTGATGCATGGTGGTGCTGGTTGATAGGGAAAAGTTTCTCCTACCGCGGTGCCGAGGTCGGCATTGGGTGTAGGCAAAAAGAGTGCCCGGAGCGGATGATAGAGGCCGCTACAGTGGGTGGGCTTAACTATTAAGCCTTCCCCAGATTTGCGTTGGGAAACCCGCTAAGCGACTTCACAGGGGCCACAGGGGCCATAAGGGCTTAACTTGGGCTGCACCAGCAGGCCTAGGGCCTAGAGTGGGCGGCTATCCGCGGTATCATTGAACAAGTGGGGGACCCAAACAACAATGACATCAACACGCCAGTGCTGACGAGTCTGGCTTTGCAAGCTCGTCACTAAACCCACCAAATCCATTCTATCCACACCAATTCTTAGGCAATGCTTTGATCAGCCTCGTTGCACGTGCAATTTCAGATCAGCCTCGATGGACATCTTGGGACAGTGGGCCACGGAGAGTGAGGAATAGCCCGAATCTTTCCGCGAACAAGCAGTGTTTCGGGGGGTGATGCCATTTTCCGAGGGGCCGACAGAGGGTCTTTCGTTCGGTGTGCTCACCACTTGGCAGTTTCGCAGGGATCCAGAGCGACATCCGAGCTGTTTTGATTGAGTAGGGATCCATTGGACGATTTAGATTGGGGAAAGGCCAAAAGCTATTGAAGCAGAGGGAGAAAGTCTGTAGCATGTGGTGAGGCCTCGGTCTAACCCCAAAGGCATTGGGGAAAAGGAAAAAGTGGTGAGATGCGGTGGTATCCTTGGTTGTAGCGAGAAAGGGCTGGCTGGGGGGATGCGAATGGGTGGCATGTCAACGGTCCAGTTCAACAAACAAGACACAAAAAGGGTCCCCCTTGGAATGGGCTTCTTAGGTGGTGGTGGCAGCGCCTGGTGGTGCATGATGCTTGTTGGCTCACCAAAAAATCCTTTCCCCGCATCTGGCGCCTTGTTCCTCTGATCGCTAAACCGGGTCCGGAGTATCGCAAATGCCCATCAAGCCGCAGGCCGGTTTTCTCATCCAATCCTCGGGCCTGGAATGTTGCCATTCCTAAGCCCCCCTCCTCAGCGTCATTTTGTCCTAGCTCTAGCCCATTGAACAGGGCTTGACAGGGTCGGACACCTGGGCAAGGTCAGTGGTCGACTCAAAGACACTCACACACGATGCCGACACACGGCCAACCGCCACGGCTGCTCACGAAACTCCAGCTATTGCACATCATCTGAACCGAGTTGGCAAGCCTCTCTTCCGACCGGCTTCTTCCTTTTCTCCCACTAGCTGTTGGGCCGTCCTTGATTCTTCATTCTTAACCCAGAAATACACCCACGAGTCCTCCAGACAACCTTCATCTTGGTGTGGGTTTGCATCTTCCTGTATATCTCCATCCTGTCGGTCACCGACGTGAAGAGCTGTCCCCTGCCGTCGCCTGCTGCCGTCGAATCCCAATTGCGTGTTGTGTGTGTCTGACGAGCTCCAAAGCCTCCGCACCAAAACGTCTTCCTCTTCCCCGCTCGGTGTATAGGCAGTCAGTAGACCGCCTTCTCACCGCACGAGACAAGTCGTTGACTTGCACAGAGTTGCTGGTGTTTGTTGCTGTCTCGTGAGTCATCGTCCATTCATGTCTAGATACCTCTTCCTGCAGCAATACTCGACCACTGGAGCTGGTTTCTCGAACACCACACCTCTTACCGATGTTTGGACGCAAGTGGGGAAATTGCTAACCAGAGACTGCGCCAGCTTAGATACGAACCCTCTCCTCGCTGTATTGCCGCTGTCTGAGCCAACGTCGACCTAAAATCCCCTGCCTCGTCTCTCCTCTCCCCTCCTTGCACAATGTCTAGTAGCACTGCCAACCGGATCAAGGATGGCGCTCGATCGGCCGCCACAAAGGTTGAAGAAGCCGCGAGCGAGGCAGTGAACAACCCTGTACAGGCCAAAAATGACTTCCTCCACCTTCCCGTGGTGCGCGCTGCTCTCCCGTTTGTCAACGGGGGTCTTGCAGGCATGTTTGCAACCGCGTGCATCCAGCCTATAGACATGGTTAAGGTGCGCCTACAGCTGGCGGGCGAGGGTGTGAAAACAGGTCCAAAGCCCACGGCTCTGGGGATAACAAGAGACATCATTGCTCAAGGGAAGGTGCTCGATCTATACAATGGTCTCTCAGCGGGTCTGTTGAGACAAGCCGTCTATACCACCGCGAGACTGGGCTTCTTTGACACCTTCCAGAACATGCTGCAGGTACGGGCTGAGCAGAACGGCACAAAGGTCACATTCGCAGAGCGAGGCGCCGCAGGCCTTGCGGCCGGTGGTTTGGCTGCCATGGTTGGCAACCCTGCTGATTTGGCACTCATTCGAATGCAATCTGACGGGCTGAAACCCAAAGAAGCCCGTGCCAACTATAGATCAGTATTTGACGCTTTAACTCGCATTGCCAAAGCTGAAGGCATCACGGCTCTCTGGGCCGGCGCATACCCCACCGTCATCCGCGCAATGGCACTCAACTTTGGTCAACTCACGTTCTTCGCCGAATCCAAAACTCAGCTGAAGCAATATTTCCCTGATATCTCAGAAAGCTCAAACCGCTTTGGCGCGTCCGCGATTGCTGGGTTCTTTGCCTCGTTCTTCAGCTTGCCATTTGACTTCATCAAGACGCGGTTGCAGAAGCAGCAGAGAGGTCCTGACGGGAAGCTCCCTTACAACGGCTTCTTCGATTGTGCGAAGAAGGTGGTCCGCGATGAAGGTTGGTTGAGATTCTACCGTGGATTCGGCACCTACTATGTCAGGATTGCACCACATGCGTAAGTACAAACACTCCCTCAGGAGGGTTCACAGGCTGACGGTGAACAGAATGATCACCCTGATCGTTGCCGACTACCTGAAGTTGATCACAACCTGAGTCATTCGTTCCGAGGCGATGGTTGGCAAATAGTCCCCGCGGACAAGGATATGTTGGATAAGAAGGCCGCTGGGGACAGGATTGAAGGAACAAAAGGTATGTCTGAAAGAAGGCATTCAACTTTAAAAGAGGAGGTAGGAGGGAGCAGTGCACGGCGCATTGTTCTAGATTGGAGGTCCGAATATCGGTGTATCTCAAAGGGCCGGATAAATGATGTGATTTTTGGCAGGTTGCAATCTGTGGCATATACCCCTGAGACAA